TGTATCCAGTTTTAAGCTTCTTGAGGTCAGGAACCCAGATTTAGTGATCATTATGTTGCCAGTGCCTAGAACAGTGCCTGACACACAGTGAGCACTGGTAAAGCTCTGTTTCACAAACACATGAAAAGACATAGAAAAAAGAATCAGTGTTCAAGTTCAAAATGCCCACATCTGTATTTTTGAGTGGTGTGAATGCATGGATTTTAATTTTCTTATATATATATATTTTTTTCTTTCTTTTGGTCTAAATGTTCTACATACAACATTGATCAACTTTGCAGTAACACATATAAAACAATGGAGGTGATTATTTAAACGATGGTAAGCTAAAAGTAATATGTGGGGGTGGGGGGGTGGGGCTGGGGAGTGGCTCAGTGGGAGAGGGCTTGCCTTGTTCAATCCTCAACACCACATAAAGATAAATAAATAGATAAAGGTATTGTGTCCATCTACAACTAAAATTTTTTTTTTAAAAAGTAAAATGTGCAATTGCTTAAAACCATGGTAAAGTATTTAAAACAATAAATACAAAGCAGTAAAAGAAAAAACAAACAAGCAAGCTCAGTCTTAGGGCCCTTGGGTACAGGATCTCTCTGGGACAGAGGTCAGGGTTACCTGAAGCCATCTGGAAGTTTCTCCAGCCAATCTTTGAATTGCATCAGTCTCAAGGAGGTGGGAGGGGCCATGACCTTGAGCGAGTCACCAGCGCTTTCCCTGGCCTCTGCTTTCCCGATGGATGCAGACAGCATCCTGGACAGAGCCTGTGCTTGTCCACCCTCCCCTCCAAGCATGCCCTGGACACAGGAGGACGTGGCAGGGGTGGGAAGGAAAGGATTAGTGTCTCCAGTTGACAGACAGCTGAGGTCAGGGGGTTGGAGCTAATGGGCTGCCAACGGGTGGGAGTGGGGGGTGTGGAGGCCTTCCTTGTATCTGTGCCCACCCTGGTCTGATACCCAGGAGCCTGCCCCCAGTCCTGGCACTGCTGCCTCCAACCAGCTGGGACCTGATGGCCTAGAGAGGTGAGACTCACCGCGCGTGCGCACTCCTGGGAGCCTGGAGAGCTCTGCTTTCGGCCAGGATGATAAACGCTTGCTCTCCACTTCTGGCGGGGACCTGTCACTTCTGTGACCCAGGGGATGATTCATAGCTGACCCCTCTCACAGCACAAGAGCCTGCCCAGATCCCTCGGGAAGACACACAGCCTGCGGTTTGCTCATCACAAGATGGTTTTTGACACAACCCAGGCTTTGGGAAACTAAAAGACTTTATTTTTTTGAGAACGATTTTGCGTTGACACAAAAATTGAGCAGAAAGTACAGAGAGTTCCAGATGCACACTGACCACCCCCCTGCCCATGATTTCCCGTGGACACCTTGCCCTGGTCTTGCCCCTAGGTCACACTCGACGGGCCAGTGTCCTTACATGACCAGGGCCTAAAGTCTATGGTTTACAGAGC